GCCAAAATTAATTTGGGATGTCAAAATTAATTTGGGATGCCAAAATTAATTTGGGATGCCAAAATTAATTTGGGATGTCAAAATAAATTTGGAATGCCAAAAATAATTTGGGGTGCCAAAAATAATTTGGATTTGGGATTTGGGATTGGGATTTGGGATTTGGGATTTCGGCATTTGGATTTTGAATTTGGGTGACAGGTATACTGGTGACAATGCACCAGGAAAATTAACTGGAGTCAAAGTAGATATATGAATACAATATTCTGGACAAAGGCCATTAACAAAAATTTGAGTTTTTGTGGAGTCAGAATAAGCATGTCCTCTTGTTTCAACTTTCTTAAACAATTCTTCTATTTCATTGTAATAGGAATTTACATCTTCTCCAGGATACTACTTTCTTTGGATCAGCTAGGTGAACTATTTGACTTCTAGGACAGTAGTTCTAAATTACTGGATAAAGAGAGGCTGAAAGTTTTGATCTTGATTGTTAGTATCATTTCACCTATTTACTGTTGAATTCTGATTCTTTCTTATAGTCTACTAGGTAACAATGGAACCTCTAAGTCGAGAAGTAATAACAGTAATCTTTTTGTCTTGAGAGATCATGTTAGCATCAAAGGTCTTTTCTATTTCTTCTATCCAGGTAATTGGATCTTGGTCTCCATCAAAGAAGTCTGAATAAGGTACTAAATTCATCTCCCAGTTCAAAGTAATGATGTTGATGACCGGAAGTTAGGTATTTTGTAGCTGGAGTACTAAACTAACTAATTGAATAGTAAATTGGTCTAATCCTTGAGGCTGTTGATTCATTACTTCAGGTGGTGTATAGATAATTATTCCTTGTTCTTCTTCTGAATCTTCTTTTTTCTATTTTAGGTTTAGTATTGTAATATTTTGGAACTTCTGAATTGAAGAAACTTTCAGATGAAAAAGGAGAGTGAAACAATAGAACTTCAAAAGTATCTATAAAAAAGATTTTAGAACTTATCTTGAATAATTTTATTTAAAATAGGTAAGATTTGTTTGTATTTTTCATACAACCAGTATCAAATTGATACTACCTGTTGGAAGAGTAAAGGGATAAGTACAACAAATACTTGAATTTAGCCTGGTAGTTATCAGTAAAGCTCCGCATAGGCCTTAAGGCTCGCGAGCTTAGTGAGCTGAACCAATTCAAGCTAAGCTGAGCCTGATATTATAGGCTCACGAGCCAAGCCCAACTAAGGCCTAGCTCACAAGACTCGAGCCTTAAAGTAGGCTTGCGAGCCTTAAAAATTTTGGGGCTTTAAATAAAAGCCCACATAATTTTTTTTTAAAAAAAATTATCTATTACTTATGAGCTTAATATAAGGTTCGCGAGCTTACTATGAGGTTTAAGCTGAGCTGAGCCTAACTTATAAACTCAAGCTCAAGTTGAGCCTAAGACTGTTGGACTTAACTCGGCCTGAGCTTTATAAGGCTCAGCTCGGCTCGGCCTATGAGGAGCTTTAGTTATCAGTGAGTTTGGAAATATGAAAAGACAAACAATATTAAAGTAACTAATATTCTATACTATAGAACAATAAAAGGTAAAAAAACTGGATAAAACAAGAAGAAGACAAAAAGGATAATTATGAGGAAAGGATAGTGAATGTAAAGAAGAGAAAATATGGCAAATTCTAATCTAAAGAAAATAAGTAATAAAATGAAATAGTTTTACTAGGACTTGATAAAGATTTAAAGGATAAATAGGTTCAAAAAATGAAAAAAAAGTGAATTTCGACTAAGTCACATGACAGTTTGAACAAAGAATTAAAGATCAATAATTTATTCTTAGATTTTAAAACTCTGGATTATGCAATGTAGTCTTTATTTATAATTTTAAAAGCAGATGCAAGAAAAGTAATAAGCATGTATATAATTTATTTATAGATTTTATTAAAGAAAATAAAAAAAGTACAAGAAAAAATAAAGAAAATAAAGTATCCATCCTAATTTTACTCAAAAACTATTTAAAAGATTAATTAAGGCAAAGAAAAAATAACATTATCAATTGTTCTAATCATTCTTTGATAATTGATTTCTAATTATGATACATGAGAAAGAAGAATTAAAGTTACTTTTATAACTATTCCAATTATATTTTTAAAATATAAATTAATTTATCAATTAATTATATGATGAAAGAAAAAAAAAGAAGAAAAAAAAAAAAAGAAAACAAACAAAAGTAACAAAATAAACTCAATTCTGGTTTTGCTTAACTTTTTGGCTACTGTGGAGGTAACAATAGTTCAAAATATTAGTATCTTCACCTTAGTGAGTGGTCTTTTATTAGGAAGAGTAGTTACCATCTAAGTAAAATGATATTTTCCGCAGTAATCTGTAGCAGACCACAGTATCCGCAGTTCACAGTATATCAGAAGTCATGTGACATGTGACTGGCGTAGCTGAAAGAAATTATAAATATTAGTAAAGAAAAAAGAATCAAGATTTTTAAGGCTAATTCAGGAACAGGAGGAACTGTGGAGAAGGTAAAAATGAAGTGGGTAGTATAAGATAAGTAGATAAGTGAGGGTAAGTAGTAATAAGTATTGCTAAGTAATTTTAGAAAAAGAAAAAAAGGAAAAGAAGAGGAGTAACGATGTTATGGTATAAAATATAACATTATAATTATCAATCAAAATATTTAATATAATTAGTAGTATTAATATATTATAACAAAGGATGAACAATTATTTAACTTATTATTAATATTTAAACATATTAGTTTAATTATATAATACCAATTAGTATTACTCAACATTTATTATTATTTATATTTAATATTATTTAGTAATAGTTATTATATTAATATTATTAGTATTATATCATTTATAGTTATTAGCAAGTAGTATTTTGTGGTACAGTAGTTAAAATAGTATAAATATATCCTTTATCTCAAATAGTTTTAATAGTTTTACATTATTTAATTTTATATTTTTATAACTTTAATTAATTGTAATTCTCAGAAGATAAAATGTAATTATTTATATAAACATATATATGTAAATTCCCATTAAATTTACATAGTGGAGGTGAAATAATAAATATTATTATTTAAGTTGATAAATAATAACTTGTTGAATATAATTAAATAATTAATTATATTTGTTCTGTTCTAATAATTATTAAAGAAATTTGAGGATAAAGTATTTATTCAATACTAAAGATGATAAATGAAAGTTATGAAGATATATTATTTAAGGATATTATAATAAAATTATGAAAATAAATTAATAAGAATGTTATAATGAAATTATAAAGATAAATTAAGGATGTTATGATGAATTTATGAATAGATAATATTAAGGAAATTTGAAAGTTAAAAGATATAATATTGAAATGAATATATTATAATTAAAGTGAATAACTATTAGTTTGTTAGTTCTATCTAAAATCTAACTGGTACCTTCTAAAATTCAAGAAATAATCAAATTAGAAATTTTGTACTTATGGAGAAGGACTATAAACTTCTTAAAAGAATCATTGAGTAAATATTAACAATAACACCTATGATAGTGACAATAAAAGAAAGATTATAGAGACAAAATTAAAGGTAATGGGATATAATGAATGGAGAATGAGAATGAAAATGTGATGTTGACAAAAAAGAAAACAAAAAAATAATAACACTGTTCCAAACTCACCTTAAAAATCTTGATTCTTTCTTCTTTTTCCTTGTCCATATTTATAATTTCTTTTGGCTGCACCAGTCATGTGCTATGTGACTTTTGATATACTGCAAATTGTAAATGCTACGGTCTGTTGTAGATTACTGTGAAAAATGTTATTTTGCTTAGATGGTAATCACTCTTCCTAGTAAAAGACTACTCACCAAGATAAAGATACAAATGTTTTGAACTGCTACCATCTCTACAGTGACCAAGAAACTAAGCAAGACTGGAATTAAGTTATTTTGTTACTTTTGTTCTTTTTCTTTCTTTTTCTTTCTTTTTTTCATCTTTTTTCATCTTTCATCATGTAATCAATTAATAAATTAATTTATATTTTTAGAATAGAATTGAAATAGTTATAAAAGTAGCTTTAATTTTTCTTTCTCATGTATCATCAATTATCAATCAAAAAACAATCATTAAATATAAGAATAACAATAAGGAGATCATCAAGAATATTGTCTTTATGTACTTTAATTAATCCCTTAGATAGTTTTTGAGTAAAATTAGAATAGATACATTATTTTTTTCTGTACTTTCTTTATTTTCTTTAATAAAATCTATAAATAAATTATATACATGCTTATTACTTTTCTTATATCTGTTTCTGAACTATAAATAAAGTCTATTATATAGTCTTGAGTCTTAAAACTTTAAAATAAATTATTGATCTTTAATTCTTCACTCAACTGTTAAGTGACTTAGCTGAAACTCATTCTTTTCATTTTTTAAATTCATTTATCCTTTAAATCCTTATCAAGTTCTAGTAAAACTATTCCATTTTGTTTCTTAATTTTTTTAAATTAAAATTTGTCATTATTTCCCGTTTCTATATTTACTATCTTTTCCTTGTAATTGCCCATTTCACCTTCTTCTTGTTTTATCTAGTTTCTTTACCTTTTATTATCTTATAATATAGAATATCAGTTACTTTAGTATTATTTATCTTTCCATACTCCCAAAATCCACTAATAATTACCAGACTAAACTCAAGTACTTTGTTGTATTTACCCCTTGCTTTTCCAACAGGTAGTATTAACATGAACCAGTTTTGATACTTATATTTGAGAATGAAATATATGTTTAAAATAGATTTACAATTATATAACAATTACAGTTGAATCATTTATTAATTTCATATATTCTGTCAATCGTCATGAGTAGTTATACATAACTAGTTAATATATACACAAGTAATTTTAGATATTATAAATATCGAACTTGAGATTTTTTACTTTTTCAAAATTTCAACAAAACCCTTTTGCCAAAATAATTTTTTTACAGCAAATTTTATTGTAACAAATATGTATCTTGTTTATAAATACTTTGTATTTATTATATTTTCATTATATGTAAAATTTATTTATAGAATAAGGACATTCATATATCTATAGAGATGTACATGTTTTCAAAATTGATTTTAAATTTTTAAGGTATTTCGACTTTTTGAAATTTATGCAAAATTTATTCTATATATAGAAGTAAAAAAAATACCCAGTTATATGTATCTTTAATTAAAGAATAAATCTGAATAATTAAAAAAATTTGGATTTTAAGTAAAATAATTTTGTTTTTTATGAAAAACTATTTTCTTGAAATTATAATTTTGAAGTTACAAAATAATTTTGTATGCAAATATAGTCAGAAATACTATTTCGTCAACAATGAGCAAATGAAATATAATAAATTGGCAAGTTATTAACAAATAGAAAATAATTTTAAATTAAATCTGAGAAATAAAACATTTCTATTGAAGTTAAATATCTACCTTTTTGCAGTAACTGTTCAAAGCCAAAAAATATATAATAACATATACTGATAACATATATTGATAGTATATACATCTTTTTTCTGAAGAAAAAAAGACTGAAACACTAAATCAACAAAAAATAAATCTGATTTTAATCATATATATCAAACCAAATCTAATAGGTCAAAACCCCTTTAAATATACTTAAATCTTATATAATCATTAAATATGTCAAGAATAGAGTATAATATAAATAGAAGGTTTGAAAGAACTGATGATTATAATGTTCTTAATAAAGTTATTGGTGCTATAATTCTATTAATATGGTTTTTGATAATAAAATATCCATTCAGTGGGTATGTTGTATTAAGATAACTCTTCAAGACTTATTAGGTCTGGAAGGTTCACATTTTATATTTCACCAGTATTGTCTTCATATCACATATATACAAGATACAAATTTTGACAAATACAATTACAGTAGAGGTAGATTATATGAGAATGATACTGCAACATGTTTCTGATATATGAAACTTATATATATCAATGTACATGTTGAAGAATTCTGAGACTTATGATCAATTCAAGCTACATATTGCCAAATTAATTGCTGAATATAATAAATATCCTAATACATATCCAATGCCTGATACACATTATAAGGGGAAATATTACTATCCTCATAACTGGATATATCATAAGAAACAGCAATTAAATAATAGATTTCATGTGCGTCTCTTACAACTAGAAGCATAATATTTAATCCAGTCACATAACCTATTTATTTGATGTATTATATCTATTTATTTAAAATAAAACCATCTGAGGGATAACGAAATAAAAGTCTAACATTTTTTCTCTGATTTTTATATTCATTACAGATAATAGATCACATTTACATCATCTGTGTATCGTTTAATAATTTTTGAGTCATCTTTACATCATATTGGTTTGGTCACGATGGAATAATAATTGTGACGCAAAATTTAAATCAGTTTACTGTAATCTTTTATCCTTCCAAAAATATCATAAATCGTAAACCATCTTTCCAAAAACATCAAAATGTCACTTTATACCAGTAATGCAAATACCAGTTTCAGTAGCTTTAGTAGCTTTAGTTCAACAAAAACAAGTACAAGTAGTACAAGTGCAAGCTCTGTAGCCACTGAGTAAGTAAATTTGTGCAATTTTTACTCCTTATTTTCGCTAACTTTTCGGAAATATTCTTAGGGATAGGAAACCAGTCGCAGTAAATGAAAATATACCTAGTACTGATGCGGTTCCAAAAAGAATGTCAGACTGCATCTATTATCGAAACTTGTGGTGGGAAAAGGGAGAATTTAATGAAAAAGCGAGATGGGATGAAGTAACGTAAGTTTTGCTGTTTGATGTTGGTATTTTTTGAGCCAATTGCTGATATAAATTGTTTATATTAAGACTACCATATGTACTTGCTACGGGCATCATCATAGAAGATTATGAAGAACGTGCAGAAAAATTTAACATTCACGGATGCTGGGAATGGTCAAATGGAGCAGTAATAATCTATGAACTTCCCTCTATGCAACACGAAGTTTGCATCGGTGCAATCGTTAAGGAAATAATTAAACGTTGCAGTGATGCTGATGGAACTAACGCAGAGATTTATAGTTTAGGTGCTACTAGTAAGTATTAATGTATAACTGTTTGTGCGTACATCATATTAATTTTTATTTCTTAAAGGAACACGTGACAGAAACCGTGGAAAAGAAGCCGATGAATCGTTTCGTCCGATAAAACCAGCCGTAACTGCACCAAATGGGTGCGATGGAAATGTAATTTCTGTTATTTTTATTGGTTTTGAACTTTTTAAAGCTAGTAATTTCATATACCTTTTTTATTTAGGATCGCCCTTGGCCAAATTTGGTCGTGGAAGTAGCCTATACTGAAACATTAGATCACGCTGAAGAAGCTTTGAAATATTGGTTAAGTCCTGGTCGCGCCCACGATTGTATTATTGTAAAAATCGATCCGGTTCCCCAAAGCCAAGTACCGGTCCGTATGAAGGTAAGTTATATCTATACAGCATAGCAATCATATTATTTGAACATTCTAAGATTTTATTTTATTGTAGGCTTGGCATTACTGTGTCTCAGCAGGTAGAGGAACGAGAAATACAGTTCCTCTTGTAACTACGGTAATGTTAGACTATAGTGATTCGCTTTTCTGTTAACATTTTAAAATCTCTAATGTATGTATAATGATTATTAGTTTGAATTTGGAACCCAAGATGGCACTGGAGCTCCATTAAATATTTTGCAAGGTCAATGCGTCATTAACATATCATTACGCTGTCTTTACCATGATTTGAAGCCTCCTGCCCAAATCCCTCAAAATCTTAATGATCCCGTCCAACTGGACTTTTACTTTGTTCAACGTGCAATCACACAAACATTTAACATTCACTAGGAAATGTCATACTACTTCACACAATATTATAGCCTTGGTTTTAGCAAGTTTTTTTAGCGTGTCATGTGGGTTGACACTGTTGGGTTTATCTTTTAATTATCTTACTAAGCATTTTTACCTGTATTGGGTTCGTGTTAACGTTTACTGAATGTATTGTGCGCAAATCATGATATATATATAAAAAATGTAATAATTTTTTCGTCGCGCAGTCATGTAATTTCAAACAAATATAATTAAAGTTTTAAGTTTGCTCAATAAGACCCAATTCTCGAAGATGCTCTGGGATGACTATATATGGGTCTTCATAATACCAGACATATCTTAAGACAATCCAGTTTTCTTCACATAATTCGTTCTTGAGTTGATCCCGCTCTTGCTGTCAGACAAAATTATTGGGATCGCCTTTATGAAAGAATTTGATATTTTTCATGCTGAGGTCCATGGATTTCGATAGCAAACCCATAATCATAGTAAGGAATATCGAGTTCTAATCCTCGAAGATGTTTAAGGGTTTTTAAGAAATCAGGTCGACGTATCTTAGATGGCGGTCCAAGATATTTTAATATAATCTCTCGGCATAAATTTTCTCTTGTATATTTTGAGCAGTAAGGACACCAAGCTTTACCATCTTTTATATGGTTAAATTTAGCAAACCATGTATGCCCTTTATTGCAACACCATAATAAGGGTGATTGACTATTAACATACTTCTCTGAAAAACATTGTCCATTTCGATTAAATGCAATTTTTTTAGCATCTTCAAGAGTAAGACGAGCATTACCTGCACAATGCGGACACCACTTCCCTTTTTTTATATTGCCAAGAGTTGCATGCCATAAATGACCTTCAATGCACTGCCATAATAATGGTAATCGATAATTAATATATTTTTCGGAAAGGCATTGACCATTTCTTGATAGTGCAATTTGCTTAACATCATCAAGAGTAAGAGGAGCTTTACCTACACAGAACGGACACCATGATCTTTGATTTTTAATACTATTAAGTGAGGCATTCCATACATGATTTTTAGAACAACGCCAATGTAATAGTTCTGTACAATTGATATATTCTTTGGAAAGACATTTTCCTCCATGAGGTTTGGCTATTTTTATTGCGTCACTTAAAGATAATTGTGGTTAGTTATTGTTTGTTTTTAATAATCATATTACTTTCTAATTCTACTATAATTTCAAGAATACGTACAGTATCAAAAGTCACCAGGCAGTCAAAAATTATAAAAAAAATTGCCAAAATTAAAATGCTAATTGTGGCGCAATGAGTGAACGAAATTGCACAAACTTTTTTTTATTAGATTCCTCTAAACTAGGGCTATAATATGATATATTTTGTAATAAAATTGAACGTCTATTCATAGAGAAATTACGCTTCAAATGAAATTGTCAAAAAATAATAAATTTAATTTTTGGGCGTTACCTATACTGCATTCGATAGAGATTAAATACAGGTACCAACTATCTTATATGAACTTGTAGCCCAGAACAAGAGCTATAACTTTAATTATTACCGTTTTTCATGGTTACTAATTAAAATTAAAACTTGATTTAAACGTGAATAAAAAAGATCGGAACTATTAAAAATATGAATTGTCATTTTTTAAAAAAATAAGAAAATCGGAAAATAATAGCTGATCGTTATCACACTAAAACTTTATATTTTACTAATTAATTATTAAAAATTTTACTAAGTCACCTTAAAGCCAGAAATTAATTGCATCTTCTGTAAAAATTTGAAGCGTATTTCTTTAAAATTGAGTGAGTTATTGACGTTTAACTTTTATGTAATAAATTTTGAATGATCAGAATTTAAACGTTCATTATTCACTCAATTTTAAAGGAATAGGCTTCAAATGTTTACAATAGGTGCACCATATTTCTAGCTTTGAGACTTCATAGTAACGTTTTTAATAGTTTATTAGTAAAAAAATAACATTTTTGTAGTTTTTATGTGATAACGATCAATAATTATTTCCAGGATTTTATTTTAAAGGAAAATGATCAACAGTATACATGCTGCCCAAATTCAAATTCAAAAACCCAAATCCCAAAATATATTTTGACCGCCCAAATCCCAAACCCAAATTATTTTTGGCAGCCCAAATTATTTTTGGCAGTTCAAATTATTTTTGACAAATCAAATTATTTTTGACAACTCAAATTATTTTTGGCAATTCAAATTATTTTTGACAACCTAAATTATTTAAGGCTATCCAAATTTTTGGCAGTTCAAATTATTTGTCAACCCAAATTATTTTGGCAATTCA